TAATTCAAAGTGTCACCAATCTTTAGATTGCACTAATAAGTAAGTACAATTTTATCATATGTTTTGCAAATTCATTTCCCTAATTGTAATAATATTTTAAACCGTTTGATTTTTGTATTAAAGTTTTTTTAATTGATTGATGATTGATTCAATCAACTAATTTGTTGATTGTATTAACTTGATTCTTTAGATATCGAAAATTAAATAAAGAACATTATGTTAATTTAAGCGTACAGAAACGTTGCTGTTGTTCCAGCAAAGATATTATTTTCACTTTACCGAGTGCCTAGTAGGTAATTTGCAGATTACCTAGTTTATCTGCACATTACCTAGGTAATTTGAGAAATAGAGCAATTTTAGCAACTTTAACAGATTCCCCTAGTTAATCTGCAGATTAGCTAGGTAATGTACACATTAACGACTTTCGAGCTTTAGCGATAACATATATATATATTTAATTTCACGTATATGAGAAGAAAAATTATGGATTCAGTCAACATAGATAATTTTATTAAAATTTTGTTGCTTCATGTCGAGCTTTCGTGACAACCTTAATTCTTTCAGGCATGGATTTCACTAATTAAAAACAATATTTGCTATGAATAGTTTTTTTTAGCTTTTCCCAATAGCAATCAAGAGATCTTATTTACAGCTTTGTTTTGGACCAATTTCTTTAATTTCCATTACATGGGTTGCGATCTGGGTTGTTTGCTAGTCAGTCCATTGTGTTAATGTGCTGTTGATGAAAATCTTTCGAGATCTATGACAACATGCATTGTCATCTTGTAAAATGAAATCATCACTACCAAGCATAAAGATATTTTCAGTGGATGGAATAAGAACAGTTAATGCCAAGGTATACATCAACGTATACCTAGGCATTATTGACGCCATAGTGATTATTGGCATTATCTCCAAATAGTAATTATGGTAGGAAATTTTGACGTTTTCTTTAGACAGTTATCCTTATAAGCGTCATTAGAATGGTACCAGACAAAAGTTCCAGCATCATCTCCATGACCAATATAAATTTATGACTCATCACTAATATTACTTTCATTTAATCGTCTACAGTCCACGCTTGCTTTGCTTTAGCCCGTTGTAAGTTTGCTTTCTTATGATCTGATGTTAGTGCTGATCTTCGTTTTGCTTTTGTATATGAAAATACAATTCTTTCAAAAGATCTCTCGCTGTTCTGGCACAAACTAACTGCTACTAATTTCCACTTCTATTCATTTCTTTTGTTGTACAGTACGTACAGTACATTTCCTACTTTCAAGACATATTGCTTTTAGTTTTCTTTATGCTTTTATATCTTTTGTGATGGTCTATATGTTTTTTTAATAATAATTTTGGTTTGTTTATATGTATACGGTGCACCAAATTTTAGATAGAGCTGGCTATGAACAATTCACATGTTTTGCAATATTCTTTACTGAATTGCCTTCATTAAGCAGTTTTACAATCCTTTTCATTGTTTCGACCTTCTAGGTGTTATGGTTATGTTACATAAACAGAAGAGTAAGGCAATTGGCTACGAGCATTCACTTTATATTCAGGCTTACTATTTGCATATTGAGCAATGTAGTAAGCAATGTTTTAAATATGCTAAATATAAGATGATTCCGTGAAAACCATTTCACGGAATCCTAGCATAACGTAACGTTTATGTAAACACCCCACTCCTTGTAACGCATCATAACAGTTAGCTGTATACCCACCATCCATATCTGTTTACATAATTTATGAACAACCCCTGTGTTTATTAAACAGAAAATAATTTAAAGTTAATTGTGAGTCGGATACTTAAGATAAAAAAATTATGGGATGTAAAAATTTTAATTAGAAGATAACTTTAAAAAAAATTAAGAAAGTAAATTTTAAACGACTAAATAACAGCAGTATAACAGAATCTGATATGCCGCTACTTTTATCGTCCTGAATAGAAATGTTTTTTATCTTAAACAACTATAACCTCGAAAGGAATTAGAAAATATTTAATAAATGTACTCTATAACTATTGTCAAAATATATACAGATTAAGATGATTTTTTTAAACTGAAAATGTGTTGTAAGTATGATAAAATGTGAAAAGCGCGAGAGAAATTATGGTGACACGTTCGGTTTGCCGGAGTGCGATGATAGGCTTTATGATTAGCAAACTATAGATTACGGGTCATACGTAAAACTCTGATTCTAATTCGCTGTGTATGGTAATTATTGATGCTTGTACCTATATATAGAATTACGCAATAAAGGTAATGCCATGACGTGAGGAAGATCCCGATAAACAATAGAAACGGAATGCTAAAATATGAAAATAATAATACTTTAAAGTATATAAGAAGAAAACGCGATGCATAATTAATCTTCGGTATTTTATACATTTTCAGTAGCTCGATAGAAAAGCGAGCTACAGTTATTGAAATAATATCTTCAAAAACTTGGCGGTGGGCTTCCAGTCCCTCGAGAGATGTACTGTACTAAAGGTGGCTTCATCAGTGCGAAGTCCGGGAGACGACGACTGCCTGTTTTCTTTAACGGAAGTAGTCCACTCTTTTTGATGATTAACAAGGAACAAAAAGAAGAAATGGCTCCGGTGTACTGTACTGTACGTTCTGTCAAATAGAAACTTTCCTTTCCCGCCATTCCATCGGCCGGAAGTAACCTGTCTCTTATTTAAGAACCCTTCCGGCGAAAGAAGTCGTGAAGAGTAGGAACTCTCCACTGCGTCTGTTCAAATTTTTTCAAACATTGGTTCCCTCTAGCCTGCTTACTCTATTTTTCAGTGACAGATTTTCCCGATAACTTTTGGGGAATCGCCGTCATTTCTTTCTGTAAATCTCTAATTTCCTCTATTTCGATCTATTCCTCTTCTTCGTTTGGCTTCCTATATGTCTCCAACAAGAAGACGCACCCTATCGGAGAATTTTCTCCCTCCGCCAACCTCACCATCCGACCTGCTAATTCCGTCGGCGAATTTCTTCTATCTTTCGCATTTACCTTAACGGTCTTCGAACGATGATAACGGAACGGCCGACCTCCGCTCCTTACTTCTTTGCTGGGGTGGTAGCGAGCCCTGATCCGTCAGGCCCTTTCTCTGACTCGATTAGCCTCACCTGTAGAAGCAGAAGTTACAATTTTCGTCTTTTGTCGTATAAGAGATCGGGCTGCGGTCGACCGAAGGCAGTTTACCCCTACTTTGGCCTCTTTCCGAAGACAGAAGCTAGACCGACCCCCGTCTTTATTTATTCTCCTGTTCCTACGGGGGTAGGAAGAGAAGGATAAATAACCCGGAGACGTTTACTCGGACGGGATTCTATCCGACCGAAACACCAAACGCATTCGGTAATCGTGGAACCCGGAATGAGAAACCGAGCTACTTTTGCGGAAAAGATCTTCTCTCTCCGGCCATTTGTTGTGTCTTTCCGGCTAAACACTAGCGCGCCCCGTCTGACCACGCCCCCGTAGGACCGCTACGGAAAGACGCCGAATTCTGCGGTTGACGCCGATCGGCGTCGCGCCGGCGCAGCGCCCGCCCGCCTTAGCTGTCTCTGTCCGCCAATCGGGTCGGACGGGACTCGAACCGCCTTTTCCCGGCGCGGGCTTCTCTCCCGTCTCCCTTCTTCGGTCCGCCGGTAGCCGACTGGGCGTTTCTTCTCCGCCCGGCGTCGCTTCCGCCCTCGGTCCGCGGATCCGCCCTTTCTTTCCTTCCCCGACGGACGAACGGCCGACGGTTCGTCCGTCGGAGTTTTCGGGCTGCCGCCCTCCCTCCGGCGGGCCAAAGGTGCCGCGGGCTGGTTTCGGCGGGTCGGCGGCGTTTCGACAGGAACCGCGTCGGCTGTCGGGAGGCGGGTCCCGTCTCCGCCCGCCCTTCTTCCCGGATTCGTCGCCGCACGTCTATCGATCGTTCCCGGACATCGGCATTTCGAACGTCGGGCGGTTGGCGACGCGTCACGTCGCCCCGCTGGCTCTCGTTGTGACGCGCGCTCGGACGCGATGGGCGGCGCGACTCCCGCCGTAGAAAAGCCGTTGGGTGCGGGCGCTAGGTAGAAATGGTAGTCCGGCGTGGAGACCGATTTACGGAAACGAAGGGGCCGACGGGAAGAGTCGGGTCGGAACTGCGGATTCGACGCTAGTCGGGAAGGCGTCGCGGGGGGGGAGAAAAGAACCGGTCTTCCGTCGGGAATTGCGAACTAGACGAAGGGAGGGAGGGATGGAGCGTTCGATATTCGGACGAGCGGTTCGACGGCCGTCGTCGTCGGCGAGCGACGACGCACTGCCGGCCGTTGCCGTGGAGGTTAAGGTTGGACGGTCGGAGGCTCCCTTGGAATCGTGGATGGGAACCCTGCGTAGTAGCGTCGATGCGGATACTGTGCGTCGCAACCGGTGGTGGAAGCGTGTGTCCGTCCGTGTGTACGTGCGTGTGTGTGTGTGTGGTGTGTGACCGTCGTGGCTCTTCCGCCGTCGCACCCCGCGTTCGACCCGCGGAGTCCAGCATCTTCGGACTAGGATCGATGGAGATTCCCGTCCGGAAGCCCGTCTTTCGTAACCTCCGGTTACGTTACGTACGACTTTCTTCTCGTAATTAATTCTCGTCGCCTCCGTCGAGAGTCACGTCAACTGCTGCGGACGACGACAACGACGACGACGACGACGTCGGCCGGCATCCGGTGGCCGTGTGCCGTGTTTCGGGGCCGCGGCGAGGATTTCCCGTCGGCGCGTGTGTGGTGCGTGCGATTCTCGGTCGACGCCATGGGACTCGCGCCACGTCCTTAACCGTTGCGGGGATGGACCCCGATCGGAAGAGACGGAAGACGTCCGGTCGCCGGTGAGGGGAACGACACGCGGAGCTGGTGCGTGGAAGGAAAATGTTCCCCTTGCTGTTACACGTTCATAGCAGGTGTGCAGTTTTTTGTTTTCGTCCCTATGTCTAGCTTGGCCTTACCGTCGTTTCTCGCGTCGCCTCGATTAATATTTACGCCCAGGACTGCGGACCTACGATCGAATTCGGTTTTCTTTTCCTTCCCCTCTTTTCAAACCTACGTTTCTGCAATTCCGTCGACGTTTCTTCTCCATTAATTACGACGTCTGCGGATCGATGGCCGGACCACCGTGCCGTTTACGCGTCCGTCTCGGACGGAAAACGTGTGACGCTGACGTTTTAAACAACTGAAAAATGTTTAACGTTTATCTGCTTCTTCGTCCGCCCGTTTTTTTACATAATAATAAAATTCCATTTCACACCTCTTCCGCCCCTTTGTTTTTTTACGTTTTCGCCTAATCGAACGTTTCGTTTTTCCCGTCAGTAACTCCCCCGTCGTCGTTTACTTGTGCGTGGGAAAATCTGGTTGGGAGGGACGGCCTCCCCAGAGGGCGTCCTATCTTCTACCTGTTTTCTGACGTTTTTGAGAAGCCTTTTCCCCCGCTATATCAGGGGCAGCTGTCTCTGCCCTGCAGATAGGATCCAGACATGCATTTTGATTTGTTTCTGATGTAGGCTTTTGCAGAATATAGGGGGCTGATTGATTATGGTTTCGTATCTACCCCGGATTGTTTTTTCTTTGTAGGTTGGCTGTTCTAGAAAACAAGAATTTGGCATGCCGTCTTAATCAGTACAAGTCTTTGGTTGTGCTTCCCGGGCCGTTGTGAATGGGATGCTCGGAGGCAACGAGAAGAGTTGTCCTTGTATTTAGTCGGGAGATTGAGGACAAATAAAAAAAATATGAAGGGCAGTGAAAGGGAGTTTGTGTTTGCATCGGATTTGTTGGTCGGTCAGAAAATCTGAAATCACTCAGGAAAAATATGGACAGAGGGTATTTGAGAGGCATTCTTCGAGTTCTGCTTGTAAATTTTGTTGCTAGTGGGGACAAATACCTAAAATTTTTATCATGGAAGGGTCTTTGGAAAGAATCGATTTTATGTGGTCTGTCAGATGTGAACCCAGTTGATTTTATTGTCGGATGCTGCTATCTAAACTTGTTCATATATTTGTGTTACATAATTTAGAAGAGTATTTTGAATATTTCCTATTTAAAGTTTTAATTATTAATTTAGACATGTAGAAAAATATGTTTGAAAAATTATAGTAAATGCTTTAAAGGAGCAGAAAAAATAAAAAGATTCGAGTGCTTTGAAGTATTATGTACTTATCAAAGAATTCTAAATGGAATTTAGTTACTTAAAGAATCAAATAAATTCAAGTTTGTTGCAATTAAAACATTTATTGTGATTTTTCAATATTTTTAGTGTTAACTTTACAAAATACCTCTGATCATAATAACTTATTGACTAACTTATAAGTTTTATGTATGTTACATAATTTTGAATGATTTAATCAGAATATGAACTATATCGCTGATAAGAATATAATTAAATTATTATAGCTAAAGTGTTTAACGATTGTTGTATTTAAGGTGGAGCTCCGAGATGATGGACAATCTCCACAGCTTAGATCCTCGAAAACAAGAACTTTTGGAGGCAAGGTTTCTAGGAAATAGAGTAAGTTCTTGTTATATAAATTGATTTCTTTTGAAATAAAATTAAAGATGCACCAATTGATACAAGGGAGAACTTTGAAAATAACACAGAACAGTTGTTAAGTTGGAATCTTTTGTAAGCACATTGTTTAATGAAATTGAATTGAAATTTATTATCACTAGCTGGGATAATAGTGAGCCTTTAACACTTTCCTTTTACAAACCTGATATAAAGAAATTATATGACAAAATATTTTATGGTGCTATCTTCTGTATAAAAATTAAATTAACTTATTTACTTGTTTACAAATTGTCAACATTAGTAATAACAAAACTAACAATATTAATATGAAGAAATATTAACCTTTATATATATATTATCCAGAGTCTATTATCCATTATTAGAACAAATTTAATAATTTATAAATGAAATGTATTATGTAAACTAATAACAATTATTTATGATTTCACATAATATTCATTTAATTCATGTAATATTCTTAACTAAGAATTAAAAATTTAGTTAAATTTTCTTTCATATGATATTTTGTGTATAAACAATTCCATATATGAATACATCTACAAAATATACTGGAGTATTTTATTTCTTTATCCAAAACTTTAACTATGATAATATATATTTTTGTTTCAATCTTGAGAATTCAAATGTTTTTAGATTTATATTATGATTAATGTCAATACTTTTATAAATATAATCAGAATTAATACTAATGATTTTACATAAAGTAGTTGTATAATGTTGATTCCATATATTTTATTACATAAAGAGACCTGCTACCATATGATAAATTTAATAATAATAAATAGATTTCCTGGATTATTATTAATACATTACATAGTAGATAAATAGGAGCAGATCCCCAAAGTTCTATATTTCATCTTTTGTTTGAATAATAGTATTATAAAGTTTTATAAATTAATGTTCAATTTATAACAAAATTTATAAAAATAAAATAATGTTTAAATTTGTTTATAACACATACAGATTGAGTTTATGTTTTTTTCTATCGTAATCTTTCAAAACTTGAAAACATTTTCACATGTTAAATTTTCATTTCAAAGCACTTTCTTCTGAACATGTTGATCTTTTTTTTCAATGTCAAGCATGAACTAGCATCAATGCTAATGTATATTGAACCTCATAACATTTCATGGCACCCCTGTGAGCATTTCCCAGCACACACTTTGGAAACTGCTGGATTATATATACAGTATATATATATATAAATAAATAAATAAAATAAAGCAAAAGTTACAGTTGACCCCCCATAACATGGGTTTTTATAGTTCAGATTCCTATATCATGGCGAAAAAATTGCAACAGTATTCGTACAAACACACTAAAAAATCTCCTATAATTCTGTAAAACGTCATCGCTGACTTGAGTCGCAACAGGATTGGTCGAATCTAGACCAATAGTGGATATTGCACAAACCGTTGCGTTTAAACGAGCGGCGGACCGACTAAAAACCATTTATTATTTAACGGCCATAAAAATTATATTTATATTAATGATGTCTCCAAAGTTCAGCAAAATTTTCGCAGAAAAATAATTTATCAGGAAGCGCACGAGCACCATTCGATGCATCGCTCCACAATGAAAACAAGCTTAAGCAATGGCATCGTCGAATGGTGCACACTTGGTAAGTAATTCTACGATTTTTTGTTTATAGCATAGTTTATATGGATTATTCCCAAAAAATTATACATATTTTGGAAATGTTGAGTTGAATTAGTCTAGAATCGATTAATTTTATGGAAGAAACCTTTCAAACAGCCATAGTCTGTAAACTGCATACATGCCGGGCTGCGATTGACTGGACTCATAGAAAATGGATTCATAAAAACCGGAACATATCTACCATGTTATAGGGGGGTCGACTGTATTTGTATTTATAGTTAATTAATATATGTTGGTTTGTTATAATTTTACTTTTCAAAATTTTTTCTCAGTCAGTTGCTGATGATCTGTTGAAATTAAAATATATATTGTATTTCTGTGCTTACAAGAGCATGCTCTTATGTTTGAAGTATGATCTTATAAGCAAACAGGACATGTATTCCAAAAATGCAAAAAGAAGCAATTTTCATATAAAAGAACATACTCTTATTTGAGTAGAAATACATTATGCAGTTTAATATTTTTAATTTTTTGATAACTTAATCTCTCAATGTGGCAAGCTGTTGAAATCTTAAATGTGTTTAGAAATTAAATGTAAAGAAAAGATTGTTGAGTTAAAAGTGCATATGTATATGAAAATTTCAGTATGAAATGAATGGGATGAAAGCAGATTTTAATATATAAAATTGTAGTAGTAAAGATTTGGCAAAATAAATATAGAGCTTATTTGAAGTAGCAAAGATTAAGTTTTGCACTATCCATATTTGTTCTATGAATTGACAATAGATGAGTATTAAAGTGATGTAAATAGAATTCAGCATGAATAACACAAAATTCTCATAATGAGTTTTCATAATCTCATAAAAATCTAATGCTATACATAACTATCAAAACTGCATTTTAGAAATAATTGCTTACTTCAAAAATAATTAGATTATTCAGAAACTTATCAATAAAAATTATATACAGGGTGGAATTTATTAAATAAAATTACTTTTCATTACAGATTTGGATAAGATTATATGATCTTTCTGACTTATAAATATAAATGTTAAATTCCAACAAATTGAAATTGAAGCAACTATGTTCCTTAGTAATCAATAGGATGACTAACACACCAAATTAATATATAATAACAAAAACAAATACACTGAGTTCAGCGTTACATGTGTTTTCTTTATCGCTAGCACTTTCAACGAATTTATTGTCGTCGTCCTCAGGCGAATACAGATATTTACCAAAGCTTTTAAACAAAAATAATCAAATGCAGAATAGAATGCATAAGATAATGTGAAATTATGTTAAAGCCGTTAGGAACACGAAGTAAATATTTAAACATAATTCGAAAACCGAACGAGCAGACAGCTCTGTGAAGTGCGAGCTGGCGCATGCGCAGAGCCAAGCTCACGCTACATGCATACTAGAGACTGCTAATACTCGCTTAAACGCTTATACAGCGTGACCCATACACTAGGCAGCTCGAGCGTATGGGTGTTGCAAGTGTCCAAGGTGGTAGTGAGGAGAGATTTCCATATAAAAACAGTTTTTTGATCCTTGCAGCTCTTGAGCATAACCGCTTGGGACCATAACGGGTTGTAACCCTGCTCAAGTACCTTCCTTGCGAGCTCAGTGGTGTGTCTTCCCCTCCTAACATTGTCTTGGTGCTCATCAAGGTGGCTGGAAAGCATTCTAGTGGTGGCCCTGATATATCTTGTGTTTACTCCCGTTGCCTGATTTTCCAAAAGTACAGCATAGACCCCCGATTTCTCAAGAATGGAAAATATCTGTATTCACCTGAGGACGATGACAATAAGTTCGTTGAAAGTGCTAGCGATAAAGAAAACGCATGTAACGCTGAACTCAGTGTATTTGTTTTTGTTATTATAACTATGTTCCTTATTTGACAAGATAAATGACTAATATTGTAAATTTTGTTGAATTTGTATCTATGAGTAAATTGTTTATTATTTCTGACTACCTCTATTTTGTCACAGTGACAAAGTTAAAATTCTTTTTAATTTTCATTTTATGATTTACATATACAAACATCTCCAAACCCGATTATTTTAGTAATATGCCAAACAACTACTGGATTAAATTGAGCTACTTCTTTGCATTTATATTTAATTAATTTCTTAATAATTTGTCATTAAAGGCAGGTGTTGTGTGTCATCTCTTATTAGATTTAATAATTATAATCAAATTAATATTTATAAATAATTTAGAATATTCTGGAAGAAAAGAATTGGCCTGTAGTGGCACTCTAACCTGCAACTCTCACTTACTGAGCGGAAGCATTACTAGCTACACTACCTGCCTCCAGACTGATCTCTTCTTCCAGACATATTGAATTATGCTATAGCCATCCTTCGTTACTTATGGTGCCATCTGGGGATGTCTTCAGCATACTTGTCCTATAATCATCCACTTATATACAGAGTTGAATGGAGTAAGTATCCTATACATAGAAGTTAAAGTTTTATTGTTTTCATCTTGTGTTTTATTTTGAGTCCTCAATTTGAAAATACACTCCTGTCCAAAAAATAAACATAACCATTAATTTTTGGTCTAAATCCCAGCTGGCACTGGAAGAGGAGATTGATCTGGAAGCTCATGTTTTATATAACTGGCAGCATATCCACATAATAAGTGGAAATTGTGGGTTTGAGTGCTGCTCCAGGTCAATTCTTTTCTTCCAGAATATTCTACAATGGAGAAGTGGCATGGTTTAATCTGGTAGTTGTTTGGCATATTTTAAGTTTATTATTAGTAAATTCAAGTAAGTATTATATACATAAAAGTTTTATTGTTTTCATCTTGTGTTTTATTTTCTGAGACCTTAATTTGAAAATATACTCTTGTCCAAAAAATAAACAACCATTAATTTTGGCCTAAATCTCAGGAACTACCTGATAGAACAGCATAAAACTTAAGATACAAGCAGAATGTTGTACTCTTTATGAAGCAAAACAATTGAAAAACAAAAATGTAATCTAAATTATGTTAAACCAAAAACAAGAAAAGGTATTTTCATATATCTTTTTGCAGAGAGAATGATTAATATTGACCTGTGATTGTCTCCTGCATGCATACACTGCACAGCAATTACTCATACTGATCATAACATTGTTTATTTGCTTTGTTGGTAGCAAAGTCCATTCTTGAGTAAGAACATCTAGAAGCACCTGGAGTGTTTTTGAATAAAAGCTGACATGATGCAACTCTTCTCTGTAGATCAGAGGTGGTGAACCTATGCCATGTGTGCCCAAAGTGGCAAGTAAAGAGAAATCATCTGGCATGTAACATATAAGATGTAACATCCTTTTGGTTTATCACCTGATTACCCTTTTTTCAATCAGCTTTTTTACATTTATTCTAAT